ATTGGTATTTACTTGGTAGTTACATCTTCTACTTTTTAAAAGTTTCCAAGACATAAAACATTTATAAGCGATATAAAATAGTACTTAAAGCATACAGTCAGAATAGAGATTATAAATATAACTATTACTGAGGCAGACTAATTATTAATTACTGCCAATCTGAATTTACTGGTGACCAAACAGCATTCAGTTCCATGGTTTATTATATATGGCACAAGAATGCCTAAGATTCATTTTTCTTTTAGGAAATTTTTACAGTTGAAGGCTTTTCCCCCATGAATTCTTGTCTGGAAGGTAATAAGTTTTGGATGTTGTTGCTGATTAATGTGTTATAAAAATTGGAAATGTTTTGGGGCTGGGGATATAGATCAATGGTTGTATTTGCCTGGCAAGCAGGAGGCCCTGGGTTCGATCCCCAGTACCACAAAAAACTTCTTGGAAAAAATTTTTTTAACTTTGTTAGTTGTTCAAACATAAGTTCTAAATCAATGAAGACATTTCAGGCTAAGAGAATGGCTAAGTTATTTTGCTTTTAATTTATTCAACAACATGCTTAATGCTTATTGAATGCCCTATTGTGGTAGACATTAGTGATTAACAAAAACACCAACAAAAAATTATCCTTGAAGTACTTAGTCCAGTGGGAATGTAGGTAGGCAAGCAGATTATTAGGATACAGTGTAGTACATACTTTTATAGAGACATGGATGCAATATTTGGAGCCAATGAGAGAGTGTGTCTAGAAGGTTCTAGATAAATAGTATATGGGCTGATTCTTGAAGTTTGCTAAGTTAACTGTGGAAGAAAAAAGTCATTCCTTACAGAAAGAATGATTGGATTATCTGATTTATTGCTGCAAGGAACTTGTGCAGTCTAGAAAACTGATAACATCCAATACACTTTTGAACTCAAATGTAGTAACCCTCCAGTGGGTCTTTGGCAGGTACCTGCACGCAGCAACTTCATGATTACATTCTTTCAAATGTCTACATGCACATATTCTGGCACATAGTCAAAGCCCAGCAAATAATGGATGAATAGATGGATGTAAGGAAGGAAAACAGAGCCTGTATCTCAGATATCACTAAATATGGATGAGGAAGAGTTGACGCCATGTTAGGAAAACTTGGAAATTGATTTACATATTCAGCCAAATTGAAGGGGAATCCATTTTTATACAGACAGCAAAGACACATGGGGATAGAGCCAATATTTTCCTCAGAAAATAACTTGGACTCTTGTGAGTTACCTGTGCAAACATTTAGTTTGGACTTCAGAGTCCTGCCCTGTGTAGATCAAGAGGGATGGGTGCACTCTAAAGAAGTGTTAGAGCGTTTATTATCAGTTCATCACCCGTCCCTGAATTTCAGCCAGGTCTCTGTGGAGTGTCTGATTTTAAATAGAACTGCTTCCATCTGGTCCCTGTGAAACACTAAGCTGTACAATGTATGCCTGAGCAGCTTAGAGGCTTGACCTGTAGAAGGGGTTGTTTTAGGTGCTTGGTGAATGATTACCGAGTGTAGTTTTAGTTTTCATGTATTCATGTTGAGCTACTTCTTCTGACAATAACTAGTCATAAGGTTCAAAAACTCCTTCCTAAAGTTCTTCTCACCCACAGGTGCAAACCTCCAGAACTGTGTATTTATCTACCTACCTATTGCTTGACTGTTTTCTTGGATGTCTCATAACTATCTTAGATCTAGATGGGGTGATTTAGAAATTTTATTCTTAACCACCTCCTCAAGAATCATGATCCTTTTGCTTGTGTATTCTTCTCATTCCATGAAGTACCATTTACCTAGTGACTCAGGCTAAAAAGTTACTAATTTCTGACATTCTCCCAGTTCTTGAGTCTAACCAGACAGGTTCACTTGATATTTCTCCCATCTGTCCACTTTTCCTCATTCCATGAGCTATCAGCCTTATACAAGCCACCATTATTTGGGTCTCCTGTCTGGTCTCTCTGCTTTTACTTTGTCCATTTCTAATTGGTTCTCTACATAGCACCTACAGAGATCTTTGTACATCAACTTGCTTATGTTATCTCCAAGTTTAAGCCTTCAGTGGCTTCACATTGCATTTTTTATTGTACTATATTATTACTACTGATTTTGACCTACATTTCTAGGCATGAAATAACATGGACTCACCTTTTCAACTTCATTTTTCCCTCATATCTTCTTTTCCTTTCTATCTGGCCAAGTTCCAGCTCTCTGAATGTGGCATAGACTCTTCCCCTAGTTTCCTCTGCTCAACATGCTTTTATCCGCTCTTCACCTGGCTGACCCTTCCCATTTTTTTAGCATTCATATTGTTAGTTTTTCCTGAGAGCTCTTTCCTCATCCTCTAATTTAAAGCTACTGTCTTCAAACCTGCCCCATGTGTATGTCCTACTTCATATAATGCTCCATAGGACCACATCTGTTTGGTTTTCCCTAGTGCCACCACGTTGCACAGTGCTTGAATAAAGTAATACTTCAGAAACATTTGTTGAGTGGAAGGTTTTTTTTTTTCTTCTTCTTCTTCTTTTTTTTTGGCACTACTGGGGTTTGAGTTCAGGGCCTCAGGCTTGCTAGGTAGGCACTCTACTGCTTGAACCACTGAGTGGAAGATTTTAATAAGTAAAAGTTTGGAAGGAGCACATTGCCTTTCTCTTTTAACTAACAATGGGGCCATCTAATTCCTATGGCGGTGATTGCTAACTGCTTCCACGAGAGTGTATAGTTGTGTTTTGCTTTACTGCAAAAGAGGTGTGGTAGCTCCATTAAAATCTGTCCTTGGGAATCTAACAGACTAAATTTAGGTCCTGTTTGATGTTCCTCTAAATCTATGCAACCTTGAGTAAGTGAATAAAGTACTTTCAGGCCTATTGGCCATGTTTAAATGGGGGGAATTAAGTAAGATTACATATGCAAGTGCCTAATGCAGTGTTTGGAACATTGTAGGAGTTCAGGCATTTTTTAAAAGAGATTAAATATTTTAAGAAATTAATAAAGACACAGGGCAAAAACTCATTTAACTTATAATTTAATATTTTTACTTGCTGACTGGAGTACTAACCCAAAGGTCAAAATCACTTTAAGAGGAAAAAGTTTATCTCTAGGGTACAAATAACTGAGTTATGTTACAGTCAGTAACTTTGGACCTCCTCAGAAAGATACACAGGGAGTTCGCCTTTGCTTTGTCCCAGGAGTGAGTGGATTGTTTAACATTCTCAATTTTTTTTTTTTTTTGGTGCATTGACATCTTTACTATTTATTTTGAAAAATAATGTAATGTACAATGAATATAAATCAGTAACTCATGAATCGTAAGGCTGTATGTGCACAGATAAACTGTCTCTATTCTCTATTAGAATAAGCTCTGGTTCTAAGGTCAGGAATCACTTAGTAATATAACATCCAGGATGACTGCAGAAGATGTTGGTTTGTGGAGATTTTCCTCCTTTTGTCCTCCAAACTTAAGTAAAGTTATGTAAGTTAGTGACAGAATTTGACAAAGATTAAAAATCTCATTGGTTTTTAACATTCTTAAATTGTGATAACTAATAAATATGGTTATATATTTTTCATTCTCATTTTAAGTAGATATTCTATGGATATTGGCTATATGAAAACATTTTTCCAATTTTAGATATTTCTAGGAGTACCCTGGAGTACAAACTTTCCAAAGATGTCACCAGCTTGGGGCTAGTTAAAAAATTAAATATTCTTAAGGTTGCAGGTCATTCTAAAATCTGATAGGTTAGATTCAAACTAATAGTGATAGATAATATTTAAGACATTTCAATATGAATTGTAGATTGAGTTTGGGGAGAAATCCTTGGGTTGAATCTATCAAAATCATCAAAAGCTAGTTCTCTGCCATTAAGTCAGAATAGTTCACATACTCTTGTCTTTATTAAATTTGATTTATGACATGATATAGTAACTATGCTAAAGGGAGTTTTTTTCCCTATAAACCTAGTCCTTCAGAGAATTTTGGGATTAAACATTAAAAGTTTGAGGACTTTGTTTTGTCTGTTTGAATTTTGACCCAGACAAGGAACTATACTGTTTGTTTAGGGATAGGTGTGACTAAGAGTGTTGATGTTGAGATAGATGAAATGATTAATAGACATAATACATTAATTGACTACTTAGCTCAGGTGTTTAGAGCATGGGAACTTTGGAGAGGTCAAACATTTGAATTCTTCCAGGATCCTCTTTAATCTACTATCTTGTTTACTAAAGATCTTATACCAGATCCAAGCCAAGGATCTTGAAATGTGTGATGGTCTTTTGGGACATTAGATTCATGACACATGAATGTACCAGGACAAATCCACGTTCAACACTACCAAAAGTGTGTTATGTTAACAGAGGAGTTTTGTGTCGATGCTGATGTCTAGATATCTCATTCAGCACAGGGAGTTTTTCTCACTGCATGTTCAACTTCATATACCCACATAGCTAAACTGAGAATTAAGGTTGCTAATATTAATGTGTCCAAAGGAATGTTGTCATTTCAGAGGGATAGAAAGCAGTAGCCATCATTGTCGTGTTTTTTAAAATCTGTTCTTTTACGCAAGGCAGTTTATTGAAGCAAGTAAAAGTTGATGCAGCCTAACAGTGGTTCTGGTCATTGAGTTTTCTTTTGGGGCTTTCTGTTCTGTGTCTGGTGGGAGTACAGTACTTCAAAAAGAAATTGGAGCAATTCCTACTGAACAACCACTTCTGACCTTTTTGTTGAGTCCAAAGGAGCCTGATGTGAAAGGAGGAAACAAAAATGCCACCTTTGCCAAAATCCAAGTGTGATTGTTCAAAACAAATCATATCCCGTGTCCCTGGATAGAATTTCAGAATTTCCCTCCCCTCATTCAACCAATGTGCTGTTTAACTGGCTTGTGCAGGGTGTTTTGGTTGAATCAGATACTAGGAATAAAAGGACCATAGTAGTATCCTTTACTCTGCCTATGAGTTACTATGGAACATGACAGATCTCTTTTTTATTTTTTATAGAATGCTATGAACCTACCTCCTGACAAAGCCAGGTTGCTGCGGCAGTATGACAATGAGAAAAAATGGGAACTGATTTGTGATCAGGTAAGAAACAATGATCCTTTTAGCAAATGAAAATAGAAAACCACATTTCTACCCTGGAGATGTTGGACTTTTCCTCAGAGATGCATGGATTTCTCTTTTGTGATGCTTTACCTTCCGGTTTCTTATCACCAAAGACAAATTAGAAAATGCCTTCTTTAATTTTTGCATTATTTTATTCTCTCACTTTTTAAAAAGCATTTTCAAGTGGGCAAACTAAATTCAGATGATCTGTTTCTCTGGTTACCTTTCATAGCAGTTTATGCTGCTTGAATGATGCACAGCTTCTAATTTAATTGACCTTCCTCGTCATGTAAATTGATGTATGTTCACGCAAGAAGCTGAGTTGTTTATAAAGAAACTTTGATTGCTGATAAAGCACTATTTCAGATTTTAGTCATTCTCCAGGTATTCTCATTTTGTCATTAACTCATTATAGAAGTTTGAACTCTTCAGAGGGATACAAAACAAAAGTCAAACATCTCCACTGTCTTTCTCTCCAAATTTATATTCAAAGTTCATTGATGTGATTTGGCAGTATCTCTTTCTAGCTTTTGCTTTCTTCTGTTTTTCAAAAACAAAATATATGTTTATTCACACTCTCCTGCAGGTTGATAACATTTGCCAGGGAATATGTCTCTATATCATCCTTTAAAACGACCTGTGGTATTCATATAAATTGGTAGTAATTTTTGGCATATGTTGCAGGGTTCAGGACAGGCTGGTGGTGTTATCCTTGGAAGTTTCACTTTCTAAAGTGGGGAGTAAGTGTCTTTCTCTGGGAATAATGTGTTAGGGAATATAGAAGTTTTTTCTCTTCACCTTACTTACATGGTCCCTGTTGCCTAGGAAATAGCTGACTGCAGTTAGCATAAAGTTTCTGAAGCACTACTTGTAAGTTGTTTCACTTTAGTTCTTAAAAAACAAGCAAGTAGTCATGGGATGGTGGTAAAATCCCTTTTTTCGGTGGTTTTGTGAGCACCAAGAGTAGATGCTGAAGAGGCAGTTTATTGCTTATATGATAGGGATACACAAGAAACAAACTTTTCTGACACTAGGCTCCTTCTTTAAGACTTAATTTTTAGTGAGGGTTATCAAAACCTATTATTGAAAGGAAAAGAGATTTTATGATGGCAAAAAAGATAATAGGGATAAAGAAAGGTAATCACACAAATGATGGAGGTACAAGAGAGGTGAAAAATTCTCAAATGGTTATGAGAAAGGAACACAAACCACAGTGAAGGTAGGCTGCTTCTAGGCTGGTCATTCTTAGCACTGAGAGAGGGACCTCGCTCCCTCCCTTCCACCCCACTTCCCTGCTCCCTTTTGACTTTATTGTATTACTAATTTTTATGCATCAGATATGCCAGAAAGGAAGCAACGCCTCCAGGGTGGTCATTGTTATGTTAGTACTGAGAGAGGGACTTCCCTCCCTCCCTCCCTGGTCTCCCTCCCCTCCCTCCCTGTCTCCCTCTTTCCCTTCCTCTCTCCTTCCCTTCCTCCTTTCCCTTCCTGTCTCCCTTGCTCCCTTTCCTCCCTCCCTTTCCTCCCTCCCTGTCTCCCTTCCCTCCTTTCCTTCCCTCCCTCCCTTCCATGCCTCCCTTCCTTCCTTGCCTCCCTCCCTGCCTTCTTTCTTCCTTTGTTCCTTCCTTCCCTGCTCCCTTTTGACCTTATTGTATTACTAATTTTTATACATCAGATATGCCAGAAAGGAAGCAACGCCTCCAGGGTGGTCATTGTTAGTACTGAGAGAGGGACCTTCTTTCCCTCCCTTCCCTTCCTCCCTCCCTTCCCTTCCCTCCCTTTCCTTCCTCCCTCCCTTCCCTTCCTCCCTCCCTTCCCTTCCTCCCTTCCCTTCCTCCCTCCCTTCCCTTCCTCCCTTCCCTTCCCTCTCTTCCCTTCCCTCTCTTCCCTCTCTTCCCTCCCTTCCCTCCCTTCCCTTCCTCCCTTCCCTTCCTCCCTTCCCTTCCTCCCTCCCTTCCCTTCCTCCCTTCCCTTCCTCCCTCCCTTCCCTTCCTCCCTTCCCTTCCTCCCTTCCCTTCCTCCCTCCCTTCCCTTCCCTTTCTTCCCTCCCTTCCCTTTCTTCCCTTCCTTCCCTTTCTTCCCTCCCCTCCCTTTCTTCTCTCCCTTCCATCCCCTCCCTTCCCCTCCTCTGCCCTCCCTTCCCCTCCCCTGCCCTCCCTCCCCCTCCCCTCCCCTCTCTCCCCTCCCCTCTCTTTCCTTCCTTCCTTCCCTGCTTCCTTCCTTTCCTCCTTCCTTCCCTGCTTCCTTCCTTTCCTCCTTCCCTGCTCCCTTTTGGCTTTAATGTATTATTATTTTTTTATACATCAGATATGCCAGAAAGGAATCAATACTGATGATGGAAGATTTCTGACAGCTACATTATTTTTTTCAACTGAAAAATGTGTTCATAAAATTGATGTTGGGGTCTTTGAGATGTTGAGACTGAGGGAGGAGCAAATTAGGTATTGATTACATTTCTGGTTTTCAAGTCCTCAAAGTTAAAGTTGTTACTCCCCTTAAATGTTAGGCTGGAGAATTCAGCTGCTTCACCTGTTCCTCTCTGGCAGTCACTTCTGCACATGGTAGAAGTTCCACACTGAAGTGACTCCGTTAGCTCTGAGGTTTTGTGGCTGATTTGTTAATAATAATAACTATTATTGCCAATAGCCAGCATTTAGTAAGCACATTATCTTAACAGTTTTGGTTAAAACTTGAAAGTGATCATACTTTGAAGTATCTCCATTTGACGTAAGGGGAAACTGAGATTCAGAGATTAAATCACTTGCCACAGTTCACGTGGCTGTAGGTGGTGAAGTGGCATAGGCAGTGTGACTGGAGAACATGTGAACTCTGGAGTCTCTCTCTACTCTTAGCCACTGCTCTCTGCTGCCCTCCTCATAAGGTGCCAGTGTGTGAGTGGTATACCAACAAGAAAGAAAAGTGGTATCTGTCTCTCGGCCTTACATTTTTTAAAAAATTTCTTTTATTCATATGTGCATACAATGTTTGGGTCATTTCTTCCCCCTTCCCCCCGCCCCCTCCCTTTCCCCCACCCCATTCCTCTCCCTCCCACCCCCTCGCTACCAGACAGAAACTATTTTGCCCTTATCTCTAATTTTGTTGAAGAGAGAGTATAAGCAATAATAGGAAGGACCAAGGGTTTTTGCTAGTTGAGATAAGGATAGCTATACAGGGAGTTGACTCACATTGCTTTCCTGTACATGTGTGTTACCTTCTAAGTTAATTCTTCTCGAACTAACCTTTTCTCTAGTTCCTGGTCCCCTTCTCCTACTGTCGGCCTTACATTTTGTTATGCTTTCATAAGAGGGAGAGAAAGTGGGGCGTTGTAACCCTGGCACTGAGTCTACCTAACCACTATGATGAAGTACCATTTTTGGTTAACCATTTGTCATTATGAAAATTGTGGAGAGCAGAAATGACTTTTTGTTGCATATGGGTGACCCATGGGTGTGTCACACATGTAACTATCACTCTCCCTATGTATTGGTGAAGGAAAGGGCATTCAAAATGACATTGGCAATTATGACACACTCATGCTTATCAGTTGAAAGTTCATCTTACCTGTTACGTACATGAATCATGTCGTATATGTTAGGTCCTAACATGAATCTTACTGTAATTTCTAATTGATGGACATTGAACATTTGCTTGCAATTATAATTCCACTTACATGAAATGTCAAGTATAGGAAGACTGGTAGAAACAGAAGGTAGACTAGAACTTGCCATGTATGAGGTGGGGACATGAACAACTGCTGATGGGTATGGGGATTTATTTTTGCTATGCTAGAAAGGTTCTGGGTTGACATTGTGGTGATAGTTGCATAGCCTTGTGGATATGCTAAATCATACACTTTTAAAATTATGAATTTTATAGGATATGAGTTATATCGTGATTAGAAAACAGGATATTTTTTGCTTCTATGATAATCAAGGATGAGAACAAAAAAGAAGAAAAGAGCTTAAGAGAAATGCTGAGATATTTGTGTAGATCTTATTTGGATCTCAGTGTGAACAAACTAATTACAAAAAGACTTTTTGGGAAAACTGGGAATATTAGATTAGTGACCGAGTAGATTAGAAGAAATCATTGTTTGAGTTTTTGTTGGGTTGATACTCGCTTTGTATTTATATAGAATCTGTCCTTACTTTTTATGAAATGTTTATTGATGTGGGGGCAAAATTATATGGCTGGAGTTTGCTTTAAAATACTTCTGCAAAGGAAAGAAGAGAAATGGGACAGAGAGATGGAGAAATTTTGAAACACTTGATAATTGTTAAATCTTAGTTTTGGCATACATTGGGGTCTATTATAGTATACTGCCAATTTTGGTGTATGTTTGAAAATTCATTACAGCATATAAAAGTTAAAAAGATACTTGCTACTTAATGATCCTCATTTTCCTTCATCTATAAAATATGGTTAATATCCTTAATTATTTTGAGGTGACATATGTAAAGAACATAGAAAGATACTTGGCATGTAATAGGTGCTTCATTTATTGTGTGGCTTGCTTTTTTTATTTTTGCTTTTTAAAAAATTACTGCACTGAGGGTACATTGACATTTGCAAAAGTTCTTACAATATATTAGTGTTGAATTCACCTTCCCCATCATTCTCCTTTATTCTCCCTCCCCTCTATTCCTGGAATACATTCAACAGGTCTCATTTTTCCATTTGGTGTGACTTCTACTGCTACTTATAAAGGACCTAGAAGTTAAGTATTACTACCAGACTTGCTTTTATTTTCAACTGTCCTCAAAAGATTCTGGGAAATTTGTTGTATTGAAGCTATCATCCTTTGTTACCCAAACATACTTTATGGTGTTGATACATGTTGCATGATACAGTTAGGAAAAGCTTTATAGCTATAGATTTTCAGTCTGAGAAATATAACTCAACCTTAGTCAGGGCTTTAAAAAGTGACTATGGAGTATTGACATTAATATCTAACATACAAGACACCCTGGATCAAGAGG